GGGGGGGGCATTGAGGGACACACAAATTGTCAGTGTGTGTTGCCCAGACGGATTTTATGCGAGTCCCTCAGCCAAACACTTGACTTGACAGACTGATATTGTCTTCAGAAAATACTTTCATCTCCTTTGACTCTTTTTTTTTTGGGGGGGGGGGTCTACAGTCTACAAAATGATACCAATACCAAGGAGAACACAGGTTATAAAACACTTTTGTAACTATTGAAAAAATACAGAACTATGTTAACTTTATTATCTCACATCTCTAATTTGAGTAAGTATTCAGCACAGAGTCAGTACTTTGGCAGTGAATTCAGCTTTGAGTCTTCTCTATCAGTGCAGCATATGTGGATTTGGGGATTTGCTCTGATTCTTCCTTGCAGATTTGGCCAAGCTCAGTAGTGCTGTAAGAGGAGCGTCTTTGAAAAGCTACTTTATACTCATTCCACAGATTTTCCATTGGTTTCAAGTCTGGGCTTCAACTGGGCCACACAAGAACCTAACACTCTTTTTCTCAGTCTATTTCAGTGTTGACTGGGATTCCTTCATAAGGATAATTGTCCCTCTGCAATGTTAAAAAAAAAAAAAAAAAGATTATGCCACCTAAACCTGGCTCTTAACAAGAATTTTCATTTATTTGGCCCTTAATATAAGCTTTAGCAAACAATCAACAATCCCGCAGGCAAAGATCCAGAGAGTAAAATGAAGGTGACATCACTTGTGAATTGGAAAGGGGAGCAAAGTACATTACAAATTAATGTGGTAGGAACAATAAACAATAAAATACGTGCAGTATGTTGTGCGTGTGTATTTTGTTTTTGATAGAATGAACATCATATCAAGTATTTTGCTAGAGCCTCATCAGTCGGGAGGCTCTTGAAAAGTTTCTGAGGTTGCGCTGAAAGAAGAGTGACAGAAAAATTGGAACCAAAATGTTTTATTCCAATAGTGAATGCCCATTAGTTTATGATATATCTTGTTGGCACAGCTTAATTTTTCATATTGCATTACATTCATTTGCCAGGTGCTTTTTTCCTCCAAAGCAACTTACAATAAGTACATTTAACCTCTGTGGGAATAAGTGCATCTCTCCAAAACAAACAACATTTTGGCCGAAGCGTGGTCCAAAAGGAAAAGGTTGGAGAGGTTGCCAAAAGCATTGAAATTTGGCCTATGGAAAACCATGAATGTCTGCTACAAATTTTATGGAAATTTGGCCATCAGGTTTGACAGACCCACTCCAGCCGCTTTAATCGTCTAGCTTTACATTGCTCAGACATTGTGAAAATGGGAGAATAAGCTTAAGTCCCCTAAATACATCTGCAAAAGCATAAGTAAGTAAGAGAGCACACAGATGTTCACTTTCCTTCCACAGGCAGTGAATTTCACAGGGTGTCTTTGGTATTTGACCTCAGCCTGATTCAAAACACAAACACTCCTCTCAGCAGAAGGATGTGATGATAAAAGTCAAATGTGCCGTGGCTTGTTCTTTTTGACCAGCAGAAAGTTAGTCTCTCTACCTCCCCATCCTAATGATTTACTTTCTGTACTTTTGTCCATTCCCTGACCCTGTAGAAAGCTCTGCATAATAAAGCATTTACATATCATTCGCTGTGATTACTGCTTTCCATATACAGTGGCTGGCTGTCCATGGAAAGATTTGTTGTGTGTAGTCGCGCATGCATGTGCTGCGCGTGGGTGAGCGTGTTCACTTTGATGCACAGTTCAAAGTAGGATGGCATTATTTATTCATGCCTTTGTTGTTCTTATTTCCTCTGCGAGTCAAAAATTCCTGGCGTTCCATTTTAGGCAGATCACGGCTAACTCAGGTGGAGTCGATAGCGTCTCAGTTGAGTGAAACACATTCCTGTGCACGCACATTTAGGAGGTGCAGTCTGTCAATACATCTTCCATCTTGGTTGTAATTTGTAGGACCCTCTTGTCTCACACTCACCCCCCCTCCACTGATTTCCCAGTTATTTGCTGTAGGGCTGACATGATGCTCTGTGTGTGTGTGTGT